TATATGCATGAGAGTGATTAGGTGAAATCTAAACCCCATTAAAATATTCATCTCATATTTTCAATATCATTCATTCATCTTTGTGTTTAACCTCAATTGATCAAATTGCATTCATGTTTATTTTATTGCATTTGCTTTCAAAACCCCTAAATTGTTCTTCAAAAGTATTAATTAGTTGAGTAATCACATAACTATTTAATGTCGTGAGTCCTTTGGGAAACGATACTTGGTCTTACCATTTTATTATTACTTGATACGATTCGGTACACTTGTCAGACTCTTAACATACGATTCGGTACACTTGTCGGACTCTTAACAGTATGAGGAACTGATTGATGGCTACATCAAGAAGGGGGATTGTTAAGACCTCGGCAATCGTATCAAGTAATAAACCGATAAGACCGGATGTTGTATCCCAAGAGACTCGTGTGACACTAAACAATCGTATAAATACTTAACTAATTTAGACTAAAGAATTATTCCATTTAATGTGATTTCGGTGCAATAAAAATAAACATAGTGCATAAGTTGTAAATTGAACTTTTGGGTTTAAAACACTTGGAAATGGAATGATTAAAGATGATAAGGAATCAAAATATTGGAGAATGATTTTACCTACTACACTCTCATGCAAATTCACATTACTTCTTCTTCATTTAATTGCTCATGTTAACCTACTAAGTTACTCAAACTCAATCCCTTGGTAGAGAGAGCTTAGACTTACTCATTAAACTCCAATCCTTGGAAAACCTAAAAAGTTCATCCGCATTAAGAAATCAGGTTTAAGACAACTAAAGATCCAAGTTCTATCCCTAGATACAATTCCCTTTAGGTGTTAAGTCTAGTTCAAGGTTCACACAATATCTCCCAACATTAAGCAAACCAAAAGATCATGCTATGGTTGATCAAGTCACAACAAGCTTTAAGAGAAGGAAATAAACTTTAACATTTAATGAAAGAAGCTTATATTCATTCAAAACAAGTGCATTTACAAGAGAGTTTCATAGTTACATCATTCCCCAACAAAATGAACTTAGCTCTCCATTGTCATGGAGAGCTTGAGCTTACAATGGAAGAAAATTGAGGAGATGAAGACCTAAGGAAGATGAATGGAGAGCTCCCACTACCCAAAACTTGCTCCAAGAGGTCCAAAATGGTGTTTTCGTGCTTCAGCCGCTAAGAAGTTGGCACCCTTGTTGCATGGAAGCCTTAAATAGGTCTAGGGTGCCACATCAGCAAGTGCCACGCTCAACGCCCAGACAGAAGGGCGCCTGGCGCGACTTCAGCAAATCAAGATGGCGCTCAGCGTCCAAAAGGGGGCGCGCGGGCGAGAATGCGAGGTTGTGGCGCTCATCGCCCCAGGAAGGGGCGCCCAGGAGAGACTGTGAGAAGTTGACGCTTAGCGCCCCAAGAGAGGGCGCCTAGGAGTGACTGCGAGAAGCTGGCGCTCAGCGCCCCAAGAGAGGGCGCCTAGGCGTGCTTACGAGCCTTCATTAGCCTTCTAGTTTGGTGCTTTTGTTGTTCTTCCTGTGTTCTAGTAATGAAAATCCCTAAGTTATAACCTAAACTAAACTTAAGCACAAAAGTTAGATAAAAGAGAAGATTAAGCAGATTTCAAGCTCAAAGAGAGTTGATTTGATATAAAAAATGCACCACAAATAATGGTAAGAATTACCGTTATCAGGGATACTGCTAAGGCCCTTTACCTTCGTGAGGAAATGGATTTTTTGGAGTTGTAATGTGACAATGTTATTCTGCAAAGAGGTGAAAGGACTATAGTGCTAAATTTTTCGCAAAATGAAAATTCTTGCTAGCGAGCCTGTATAGCTAAGCCTGAAATTGGATCTACTGAAGCCCAAGATCTATTCAATTTCTTCAAGGAAAGTATATGTGTTTGAATGAACAACGTCCAGTTTTTGAAGAAACTAAGCCCATCCATTGGTAAAAATTTGCCTTATAAATGCTAGAAGGTTGTAATTACTTAACAAAGACACAATGTTTGGTCATGCAACAAGTTGTTACATACAAAGTTGTGCAAGATCATCAAGCCAAGGTTAAGCACATCACACAATGACAATTGAGGCCAAGCGACTAGGTGATTGTTTTCCATTGTACCACTCGTCTGGTTCCTTGTGGTTATAGGACGATGTCGCTCGGTCCCACGGTGGGCGCCAAAATGTTTCGGGTAGGGGGTTGAGGTCTCTTAAAGCACTTCAAGTTGTCTTGAAGACCAGATAAGCTCCTTAATGATCCTCATCATTCGAGTTACGTTGTTTGCTCTCTCTCCTTGTCCTAACCGTGTAGGTAGGTACTTGTCAAAGACATATCGACGTTCAAGTCAGTTTTTACTCAATAATTATATGGTAAAGACGAGTCGTCAAAAGTAATTATCTGATTTCCCTTTCTAAATCTTATAATGAGTTATAATTAAGTCTGATTCATTAATTACCATTATTTATATAATTTCTAGTTAATGACTATTATTCTTATTAATTATTTATATTAATTATCAATTAATTACTATTACTGATCGATCACTCATTTCATTGTTGGATGGTTGATCGTCTGGTCCTTGGCTAAATGGATGATCATGTTGTACATATCATATTTCATATATATACATAATTAGGGATGACAAAATAATCTGCGCCCGCCGGATAAAACCCGTGATGGATAATTAATATCTGCGGATATTTATTACCCGCGGGTAGTGGATATTTTAATACCCGCTTATAAATGGGCGGATATGTGTATTATACTATCTATAACCGTGGATATCCGCTACCCGCAAAAAATAAAAATAAAAATTTAATTTATATTTTATTAAGTTAAATTTAATTAAAATTAACATTAATTTATATTTTATAAGATTAAGTTTAATTAAAATTAAATTTTAATTTATATTTAATTTAATTTATATTATATTTTTTGTAATTTTATTTAAATTTTATTTTAATAATTTATAAAAATATATTTTTTATATATTTACGGATATTTACTAGAATTGCGGGTTTTAAAATATTCACGGATATATTTTAAATGAATATCTATATAGATAACTATATAGCTAATAGGATGACGAGTAGATTTTCTTTGTCGCATCGGAATGCAGATAAACATTATTGGGTCGTCATCTTTATACATAATACTTGTATGGAATTTTATCCTTTATGAAAATAGGTTTGATAAGTGTGTGTCATGATAATAGGTGATTAGTTGGTTTTATCCTCTTTTGATAACATGAACTGGTTTTAACAAAGTAGTATTATTTATGTGGGAGTGCGAAGGTTACACCATCCCTCTCAGCTCCATGACGTCATATTACATGTCGCCCACTACACAGTAACACTTCATTTTTCATTAACTATACGAAAATAATATAATGAAAAGAAAATGAAATTTATGTCTTTATATGTTGAAAATTTTCAACACCTCCTAGATGTTATCCTATTCTATTGTGCCCCCAAATCTCATCCTATTATGCATTACCAATTAAGTTATCTTTTGCTCCTGTGTAAAAATACACAATCACCATAACAACAATAAAAACACAAATGTGACTCGCAAAGTGTTAAAAGTCCTGAACATATTAAAATATAATGTTTTCAAAACTCATTTTCATTAAACATAAAACATACCAAAATTCACTGAAACTTCCAGTAAAGGAAGCTGAGTTATAATGGATAAACTCACATATCTTGTTTCTAATTAGAAAAAATGAAAACAATTTCTGACTTAATAGTTTTTAATAAAAATCCTAATTTTTTTTATAATGAAACAAAAGCAAGTAAATAAACCAAATATTCTATTTTCAACACAAGCATTCAAATGTTTAGATAAAAATAGTGTAAACTATATATTTAAAAAAAAAATTCAAATGATTTATCTTTAATTTATTATGCTGAGTTTAAAATAAATAACTTTACTGAAAAGGTAAAATAAAATTATTTTAACATGAAAGGGATGGAAGTTGTACCTTGATGTTCAATATTGATTATCTGGAGCTCCCGAATATCACCATATAGGTATTTGACGTTTGCCAAATTGTAAATGTCAAATTTAAGTCTAATAACTTTTAATCATATTATGAGCTGAACAACAATTGTATTGAATTTAACTGTGTCTCAGTTACGTGCCTTAAATTCCTTCTTTACTGACCTCAATCGTTATAAAAATGTAATTATATATTTAGTCACGTAATTTAAAAAATGAGCAATTTTAAAATTTAATTATATATTTAATCATCAATATTTTATAACACTATTAGTGTATTATTCACATAAGTATATAGTAATAACAAAACTTGACAATTAAAAGAATATTAGTATTTTTTTCAATAATTAGAACATATATGAATATTAGACTCAAATTGTTTAACTTAAAATTAAAGGTTAAAATTGGTATTAAAGTTTTACATTAACCAAAAGTATCATTCACGAAATTGTATTAAAATAAAACAAGAAGAGTGAATTTGAGTCTAATTAATTTATCTACTCAAAACATTTGTCTATATATAAATACTTTTAGAAAAATCTGATACTATTTTTGTTTTATGGGAATGAAGATCTCACATTTAATTAAAAGATAAATAAAATAAATAAAAATGGTATCGGTGGTAAAAGTTGATCAAGAATGACAACTTTAAATTATGTTATGCTAACATGGCAGACCCATTAAAAATTCACCCAAAACTCAGCTGAGTGGAAGACAAGTGTCGAGGAAGGAGAACTGGAAAACAGAAAGTGGAAGACAGGTTGAGCAGTGGAGTGGGCGTTCGCTAATGACGGTAGGAGTAAAATTCTGGGTTTTCAAAAGTTCACGCCACTTCTTCATGCTTACCTTCTTCTCCAAATCTCTGAAACCATTTTCTCCTCCTTCTCTCTAAAAAGCTCTTACTTCTCTCTAAGAAATCCTCATTTCCTTCCTCTGATCACCACTCAGACACCATTTCTACTTTCCCGGCATCGAGGGCGTCTGTNAAGTTTGAACTGGACAGATCTTGAAATAAGACCCACTAAAATTTATACATAGAAGTATAAAACACAATGTCGTGACCAATTCTATCCTCTATATATGTAATTGTACTTAATCTCGCGAGCTTTGCTTTCCACATCCTGATTCAAACATTCTTTTTATGCTACTTGCAACAGAATTCCACTAATCTTTTCTCCATTGATACAGTTCTTTAGGTTCCCATTGATATAAACTTTTCTTATCATCAATGTATGATATATCTGTATTAGTATAGCCCAAATGCTTTTATCAAGTCTTGAGCTTATTTCACTATTAAACCATTTCAGGCTCTGGACACATTCAATGCTACAATTGTTTCTCCTGTATATTATGTAATGTTCACAACTCTTACAATAATTGCCAGTGCTATAATGTTTAAGGTATGATAATGGATTCATTTTTCTTTGATTGCTTTGGTTATATCTCAACTTTTCTTTTTTGTTGAACAATAGGATGTGATAAGCTTGATTATTTACTTTCAGGATTGGTCTGGTCAGGATGTCAGCAGCATAACCTCTGAGATATGCGGATTCATCACCGTTCTTTCAGGAACAATCATATTGCACATGACTAGAGAACAGGAAGATTCTAATATGCAAAGTACATACATAATAACATATTCCTTTTAGTCTTTTTCATGCCAGTTTCCATTTGTTTGTTGATGCATTGATAGACTGTTACAACTCATAAGAATTTGGCTATTGCAATTAAACTTAAATGATGGTATGTTCTCTATTTGATGCAGAGACCTCCAGATGGTTCACTCGTGAGGATTCGATGAAGGGTGTGGAGGATGAACACCTCATTTTCATTCACGATTCAGACTATCCCGAACGTTGAGTTTTCCTACGATGTTAGGTTGATGGAGCCGATACAATGACGTGAGCTGCCCATGGCCATATGGTGTGGTGCTTCTGCAGTGTGGATAGCTTGTCCTGGAGTTTAATGAATTCAAGCATCCATGGTGCTATAGTTCTATAACCATTGCTTTCCATGCTGTTGACTGGGGCCACTCAGAACTTGCGAAATACTATAATCGTGATTGAAGTGCCGAACCATTTCTAACTGAAATGGGATTGCTGTCTCATTACAACGAAATTTTTGGAGCGATCATATGCCATTGTTCTATTCTGCGTCTTAGCCAGTGTAATATTTCTTCACACACACACATTGATATGTTACTAGGAAGTCAGCAATTGTTTATATAGTTCCGTCTATATTTTCTCATTTAATTAATTATTAGATTTATCGTTTTATTTCTTGAATTAGGTAAAGGAAAAATCTATTGGTTTGTTAATGGTGAAGATATTTATTCTTCCGAACTTCTGATGCAAAAGTGGATTATTTTGTTTATTATTTCTTTTTACCTTGTTTTATTTTCTTTCTCAATGCTTGAGGGCTCTATCAAATATAGAAGATTTTGAATACAGTTATTCGCATCAAAGAATCTGCTACTGGTTGCGAGTTTGGGGTGCTTTTGCTTCGCATCTATCTTCGAAAAACTTCCTCCTATCTCCATTTCTCACTTATTGCGGTTTAGATACAATGATTCTTAAATGGTTGCTTCAATTCAACGCCAACTTGGTGTAAATCTTAATGTCCTTGAAGTAAGTAGAAAAATATGTTTTCTTATAAAACACAAATTTACGAATTGGAGAAAATTGGTGAGTTTCAAACAAATTATGTAAATGGACAAGTTGGATGACTTTTAGACGTAAAAGTCTTATTTTATATTATGACTTATTTTGAAACAAAAGCTAAAGTCATTTTATAAAACATTATTTCATCGGAGTCACTTTTGAAAATTGTATAAAATAATGTTAGAATCAACAATTTTGTTAGTTAAAAGATTACATACGAATAGTTAAAAAATAGAATAAAGTACTGCATAATTTTTTTTCTCTTTTCCTATCTTTCTAGTTCAGTGTTTACTAGTGCATTTTTCTCACTGCCATTAAAACACAAACCCATATTATACACACGTAATTAACTCTTTAAAAATATCTCTCAACATATACAATACGTTAATATAATATACAACAATATTTAATGATATCTCATAATATTTAACCATGTTTTTTAAATAATTATTAAATTATTTTTATCTTTTACTTAAAATACATGTTTAATCTCGTTGATTTATTTGTTTTTAATTATTTTAATCTTCCAAAAGACAATCGCGTTTCCCTTTTTATCATAAATAATTAATTTATTTTAAAAATATTTAATTGTTCTTATTTGCACACTTTTAGTCCGATCTAAATAACCCCTAGTGTTTTAAAATATGACTTATCCATTTTAGTGTTATTTCATATGCAAATAAAAATATAACTTGCACAGAAATAATGAAAACTCTAGACTATCATAATACAAATTATAATATAAAAAAATTAGAGATAAAAATAATGATAAAAAAATCTTACTAATAAATGAATAAATAAATAGATAAGATTTTTTATTTAATTTATTGGCCATAATCTCACTTGTTAGATATAACAAATAATAGTAGAAATCTTATTAAAAAAATATCATTATATGACAGTAGTAAAGAAAATAATCAGGTCTGTGGATATTAGAAATTAATTTGAAATAGTTAGTTTTGATTAAAAGATAATAATGATATTATGAAAAGAATAAGGTAAGGAGCATCACAATGGTGGAGTGTGGCTATATAAATGTCCACCGTGTGACAGTGGGTGGCTGAAGAAAAACGCAAGGTGCTCAAACAGAGAACAAAGAAAAGAGAGAGAAAAGAAAAGAAAGTGCGGTGGTGAAGCAAATCAGAGAATGGCGGCTACTGTGTCTGCGTGGTCAAAGCCCGGCGCGTGGGCCATCGATTCCGAGGAACACGAGGCTGAACTCCTTCAACAGAACCCCACCAGCGACACTGTCAAACCTCTTGCCGACTTCCCTTCCCTCGCTGTCGCCGCCGCCACCAAGCCCAAGAAGAAGAAGGCCCAGACCTACTCCCTCGCGGAGTTCACTGCCAAGCCCGACACCGCCTTCGCCGACCAAGATCCCGTCGTCCTCCCCACCGGCCCACGCCAGCGCACCGCCGAGGAGCTCGACCGCACCCGTCTAGGTGGCGGCTTCCGCTCCTACGGTGACCGCCCTAACAGGAATTCCTCGGGGGACGACTCGTCGAATTCCCGTTGGGGTTCATCTAGGGTTTCTGACGAGCCCAGGAGAAACGGTTCCTTTGGGGCTAGGGATTCCAATCGCGAGCTTCCCCCTTCTCGCGCTGACGAGACTGATAATTGGGCAGCGGCAAAGAAACCTTCGGGAGGGTTTGAGAGGAGGGAGAGGGATAGAGGAGGGTTCTTCGATTCGCAGTCGCGCGCTGACGAATCGGAGAGCTGGGTTTCGAATAAGAGCTTTGTGCCGTCGGAGCGGCGATTCGCCTCCAACGGTGGAGGGTTTGAGAGAGAGAGGAAGGTTATTGGGTTTGGCTCCAGCGGCGGCGCTGATTCAAATGACTGGAACAAGAAGAAGGGCGAATCCAACGTTGGTAGCGAGAGTGTTGGTGCTGGTGGAGGGAGACCAAGGCTTGTTCTGCAACCTCGGTCTCTGTCGGTGTCCAATGAAGGGGGGGATGGGAATGTGGGGAAACCTAAAGGGGTTAATCCATTCGGAGAAGCGAGGCCAAGGGAGCAGGTTTTGGCGGAGAAAGGGCAAGATTGGAAAAAGATTGATGAACAGCTTGAGAGCATGAAGATTAAGGAGACAGGTGGAGGTGAAGCCTTTGTGAAGAGGGGTTTTGGGTCTTCCAATGGAGGAGGACGAGCTGCTTTGCCTGAAAGTCGCACTGAGAGGAGTTGGAGGAAGCCCATTTCTGATGATGAAAGTCCTACAAGGTTTGTCACTGATACTATTTCTTCTTGGCTCCTTGTTTTCATGGTTGAGATTGTGCTGTGTCTTTTATCATATTGGATGTTTCTTGCTAGAATTAGCTTCTTTAGATACCGATTGATTCAATGTGTATTCTTAGCTGATGCTTAAGTGTGAAAAAAAAAATGAACCAAGGGCTCAGAATTGTTAATTAGTCTGGTTAAGATATGCTTAGGAATGTTAATTTACACTTTCATATCTGTTCTCAAGAGTTTATTTTTGTGTGTATCGTGGTACTCTATCTAATGCGGTCCATGTCTAATGCTATGTACTATTTTTCTGGTCTTTTGTAAATCTTTAGTACTGTCTTTTGTAAATATTAGGTAACACTTTGTATTGCCGACTTTTCTGTATTTTCCATGCCAATATGATTTTGAAGCATATAGTAGTGCTGTTTCTCCTGGATTACATGAATGCTATTAGGCTTTGAGTCATTTAGCTGGCTTAATTCTTGATTGTCGGAAGATCTGCAAGCAGAAATTGTTCCATGTTCTTAATTTCTGTTGGAATCTACTCATTTCCTGATGTACTTATCATCTAAGCATTATTTTTATTAAAAAGATGATAAACTGGTGGACCCCATCAGTAGTTAATCAAGCTTGAAATATCATGATTTGAATGGAACTGAACACAATCCTGCTTAGTGCTTAGAGCATGCCAACATTTATATTTTCTCCTATGTGGAGTCTGTTTGTTACATGTATATGATTTTGTTCTATTTATACTGCTACTGCTGTTGAGCTGGTTGTTGTTGATCGCAGTGCTGAAAAAGTTGAAGATAAAGCCGTAGAAGAAAATTGAAGATCTATCAATTACTTTAGGTCTCTGCAGATTGATCGACGAGAGTTGGATATCAAAAAACTTATTTTTTTGTTTCCCATTGAAGTTTTGTCCGTCCTCCTATCATTTTATGTTTTATTGTGAAATTAATACTGGAACAGTCAAGTGACATTTTTGATAGAAGTGTTGGTAGCTTAGGCAGTCGTTTTTATGAAATGTTTGTCAGAAAATGTTGCCGTAATCTATATAAGCTTGGTGGTGAATTTGGGATTTTGCATTGCTTTAAAACGTTTTATCAAATGATGTTTTTGTTCAACTCAATATATATATATATATATATAGACACACACACACACGTATGCCATTTGGATATTAGAGAGCCGTAATGTTAATTGTTACAGATGGCACCGTTCTCTGCCTGCACGTTACCTAGATTTTTATTCAACACAACTTATGCTTAAAATCTGTCCTATTCCAATAAGTTCTAACGTTTTATTCGGTTATTTCATTAGCAGCAGGGTATAGAAAAAGTGTTTTAAACTTAACATTTCAACAAATTTCATTATTCTGTGTTTTAAACGTTTCAGCAAGTTTACCAAAGTGCATCTTTATTAATAAATTATAACCCTAATCATGAGCGCTGATCCAATTTCAACAAGTTCATTTGATTAGGATAAAACTTTTCAAATGTAGTTGGAAAATCATTGGTCAAATACTGGTGATTAAGTCAATCCAATACAGAAACCATGCTTTAGATTTAAAATTTTCTGTGAAATTTAAGTTCAAAAACTTAGATTTTCTCATGCTTTAAATAAAACTTAACATCCCAATTTAAAGAATATAAAGTGAAGTTATACACATATATACAGTCATATTGAATATAAAGGTTATTTAAAATAAAGATAAAACTATATCAAAGAGAACTTATACTGCACAAAACATTTATATACATATAAAATTACTAAAAGGTACTACATCTTCTATAAGTCATTTCAACTATCTATCACTTGCTCATGCGTAATCATAGTAGAAATAAACCAGACAACAACAATAAAAAAATAAAATTGTGTTACCATATCTATAAATTTATAAGATTCAAATTGTAATTCCCTATTCAAACTGTATATACAAAATCATATACCACTCCCAATATTTCTCAAATCAGATATAATTCAACTCATCCTTTATATTTTTCAACACTTCACAATCAATTTTACTAAACAACGTTCAGCGTATTTTTGAATTAAGTCAATCAATTTAAAATCAAACAATCAAATCATTTCATCAAATATAAAAACACACACAGATTAAAAGTTTAATCAAATGTAAAAATATTATTCACTTTCCTGACATGCATGATGTCAGAACCATTAAAAACACACTAAAAACTCCATTTGAGTGGAAGACAAATGTCGAGAAAGGGGAGCTGGAAATCAAAAAGTGGAAGACAGGTGTGAGCAGTCGAGTGGCCATTCAGTTTTGGAAGGTAGAAGTAAAACTTAGTTTTTCAAAATTCATGCCACTCTCTGCATGCAGTCATCTTCTTCAATCTTCTGAAACTCTATTTTTCTCCTCCTTCTCTCTAAAAAACTCTTACTTCTCTCTACAAAATCTCACTCTTTTCTTCTTCCGATCATCAAACAGACCACACCTGAACA